CTGTCAGGGTATATATAGAATTTATGATGAGATGACTAGATGAAATTAGCTAGGGTATAAGAGTAGGTGGAGATGAGAAGAGGTCTGATGACAGCCAAAGGGCTACTTCAGCATTCAAGGTTGGGAAAATAAGGAGGAATCTACCAAGGAGACTGAGTAAAAGAGAGCTAACAGGGAATGGTATCCCAGGGGTCTTTCAAAGAAGTGTTTCGAAGAGGGAGTGAGCAATTGCGTCAAATGAATAAGATTAAGACTGAGAAATGACCATTGGATTTGGCAAATGAAGGTCATTTTTCCCTTGACAGAAGCTGTTGGAGTGATTGGTAGTAAACATGAAAATGAGAGTGGAATAGAATGAAGATAGCTAATATGGACAGGACTTTAGATTTTTCCTTGTAAGAGGAGCTTAAAAGTGGAGCAGCATATGGAAGTCCAAAGAAGATCTTTAAAGTTTTTTTTTAAAGATATTACAGTATGTTTAGTATGCTGTATGTTGAAGGGAGTGATCCAATAGAGAGAAAAAAATGCAGAACTGCTGGAGGAAAGAGGAGGTGGGATCCATTGCACAAGTGAGCGAGTTAACCTTAGATAGGAACTTTGGGAAGTTCATCCATAGTAACAGGAGATAAGGCAGAGGGTATGGGTAGGGATGCAGCTAGGTTGATGTATGTGGTGATTGGAGGATGTGGAAGTTCTCATTTCGTTGCTTTTTCTCTCCCTCCCCAACCCCCTGTCCAGTGAAATTAAGAAACAAGGTCAGCATCTGCAAGTCAGAAATAGGGACGAGATATTGAAGGTTTGAGGGAGAGATGAAATTTTTCAATAATTATCTACGAAAATGGAGAGTAAATTAACTTGGGGATGTGTTCAGCTGGTCAGGTGCAGGTGCAAAGTGGAGGAAAAGTTGGAACCTGTGCTTCAGGTTTTGTCAAGTGAAGCTGGGTGAGGAAGAGAAGAGCAAGTGAGTTGATGCGCCATGCAAGGGAGTAATTAACTAATGGACCGTGGAATGATCAGGTAAAGAGGGTAGGCATTATGTGCATGGGCTATAGGACAGTCAGAAGGTAGAGAGTCATACATTGGAGATATGACTGGTGTTAAAAACTTGTTTGAGTCTTAGAGGGAGTGACCAAGAAAGATAAAAGGTCATGCCCAAGGAATGGTATTTTAGGCAGTGAATTATGGAGACAGTGCAGAATCTAGGTACATTCATGGCAATTAGGTGGCTCAGGTGGGGGGACAAGAACCTTGATGGTGTTATAATTGAGAGGATAAAATATGATATGCTACTAACTCATTGTGGTATTTACACTCTTCTGGTTTCAATAAACACTTCAGTTTTATTATTAAGATACCAATAAAGCATCTCTACTTTCTTAAAAATATACTGTTTTTACAAGTGCCAATTGGTTCTCAGTGTACAAGCCTCCCGATAGTTTCTTCTTTCAGTTTATACCCCTTTGATCTGCTCTGTTAATATTATTCAGGGAGCTTTGTTTAAAGAAAAAAATTTTTTTTAAGATTATAGACAAAATCATGCAATTTGGAGGTCCACAGGCTAAATTTGACCTGTAGATACATTTTGTTCTATAGGAATAGTGTTATAAAAAGAAGCCTTGAATTTGAATTCCCCTTTAGATAGGACATTCCAGTTGCCACAGGCCCTGCAGTTCTCATAGTCCCCACCATTCATCCCCATCATTTACTTTTGTCTTAGAATTTTCTACTGTCTTTTAGGCCCCTTTTACTCATTTATGTTTACTGGTACTTTTTCTCAATGCATTTGCATTTAAAACTCTTGCCTTAGACCTGCTGAATCAGAATTTCCAGAGTTGGGCATTAGTCATCTCTATTTAGAAACCTCCTTAAGTAAATCTGATGACGGTCAGGTAGTGGTTGAAAAAGACAGATCTTACTTACTAGCTGTGGATCTTGAGTTAGCAACTTAACCTCTGTGGTTTTCAGTTTCCTATCCGTAAAATTGATATTAAAATAATAGAACCCATATCATGTGGTAGTGATACAGGATAAATGAGATAGTAGGTAAAAAGGCACCTGTGCCTGGCACCTAGTATATAATCAGAAAAATGTTTTTCCCTTTTCATTTTCCTTTGGGAGTAGGATCTCAAAAGCTTCGTTTCTTAAAGCACGTTGAAGGGATATTCCAAGCCAACCAATGCCTTAATTAAGACACTGTTTTGACTGGTTTAACAAAACCAAATAATGACTGGCTTAAACAAGGAAGAAGTTGAATTCTCTCTAATATAAGATTCCAGACTGATTTGATGTTCAGGGGATATTCAGGGATATTTGGTTCCAAGGACCAGGTACCTGCGTACTTTTTGCTTCATCTTCCCTTAAACCGTAGCCCTTTCTCACATAGTCAGAGATGGTTTATCACCACCCAGACTGGGTTCTACCCCATTGGAAGGAGGAAAGTGTAGGCTAAGAGTAGGTAGCTTCCTTTCAAGGGTGTGTTCTGGAAATTTCACACACCTCGTTGGCCAGAGCTTATCACATGGCCGTTTCTAGCTGCTTAGAGGCTGGAGCAGAGAGGTTCTAGCAGGGTAGCCATATACCCTATGAACAGCAGTGGAGCATTGTCTGCTAGAGGGCTGGAAGGTGAAAGGATGGCGCAAAAAACTGGGCTGAGTTCCACTCTGCTGTACACAGGGTTGCTAGGAGTTGGAATCTGCTTGACGACACTAACAACAAAAAAAGCTTAGTACCCAGTAAAAGGATTCTAGTACTAAGGGGAAGAAAATGAGAATAGATATTAGAAGACAGTTAGTGGTTTCTGCCATAGTTAATATTTGCTTAGTATATCTGTTTCATTCTCTAAATAAGATTAACCTCTTGGTCATTCTAGCCTTAGAATTAGGGGTCATTGTTCCTTAATCCCAAATTAATTAATTAAAACAAAAAAAACATTACTTGAGTTATTTCTTTCTTTTCAGATATCTTTAAATCAGAGATAACTAGTCTTTTTCCTAAGTCGATGTCTTAGTCCTAATGCCTAATTTGCCTGTGCAAGTATGAATCCTATCTTTGATAACTCAATTTCAACCTTACCTACTTTAAAACAATAGAATAATTCTCCAGATCTGGCTGTTTTGGCGGAGGTTCAATATAATCTTTATTTCCATTCAGCATCTTCTGTCACCAAGATTTAGAGTATGTCATGAGACAGGTGTATGTGTGTGTTAATGCAATCTCCTCTCTATGCTTTTCTTGTATTTTATTTTTATAGCCATGGGAAGTAGTTGTTATTATATCCATTTTGCTAATGAGTTAACAGAGGCCCAGAGATGTTTAGCAGCTGGTTTGAAGCCACAAAACCAGTAAATGGTGGAGCCAAGATTTGTACCCAAGTTTTTATATTTCCAGTTTCTGTGATCTTATCCCTAGTGCCATACTGTGACATCTGTAGATGTTACCCTACAAAATTGCATCATACCCTTCCATGGTGGTCTAGTGGCTAGGATTTGGTGCTTTCACTGGTGCGGCCTGGGTTCAATTCCCAGTTAGGGAAGTTAGTTTTACTGCTAATCACTGATGTTCTCTTAGACTAGCCGCATTGGCCTGGTGGTTAAGTTTGGCGTGCTCTGCTTCAGCAGCCCGGGTTTGGTTCCAGGGCAGAGACCTACACCACTTCTCTGTTAGTGGCCATGCCATGGTGGTGGCTCACGTACAAAAAGAGGAATATTGGCAGCAGATGAGCTCAGGGTGAATCTTCCTCAGTAAAAAAAAAAAAATGTTTTGAGCTAGCCCTGTTGGCCTAGTGGTTAAAGTTCAGTGTACTCTGCTTCGGCAGCCTGGGTTTGGTTCCTGGGCGCGGAACCACACCCCCCCCCCCACCCCCCATCTGTCAGTAGCCATGCTGTGGCTGTGGCTCACATAGAAGAACCAGAAGAACTTACAACTGTACACAACTATGTACTGGGACTTTGTGGAGGTGAAAAGAAGAAAAAAGGACGAAGATTGGCAACAGATGTTAGCTTAGGGTAAAATCTTCCCCTGCAAAAAAAAAAAAAGAATTGCATCATTTTTTTTGTTGTTGTTAACGACATTTTGCTTTTTTTATGATTATTTCTCTTTCTATTCTTTCTCATTTATTTCTTCTTTTTTAGTGTCATAATTTCTCTTTGGGTTGTAAAACCTTACCTTACTAAGAGACCCTTTTAACATAACTTAGATAAAAACTATATGGATAACATATCTTTATTTTTCCTCTTTGAGAGAGACCTAAAGAATGAACTACTAGTTGTTTTGTTGGCAATCACATTGCAGATTGCTTTTTTTGGTTATATATTTATAAATTATTTCTGTTTTTGGTAATTTTTTTTCTACCCTACTCTTTATGAATAAAAAAGGTACCCGTTAGTACCATGAAAGATGGCTGTGAGAGTTGTGTTTCCATTTGAGGTTTTATGGTTATAAAGAGAGTTAAAGGGGATACCTAAAATGTTTTATTGACATGGTCTGGCCATCTTAATCCATTTTTGTCCTGGGTAGAATCTGTCCATGCATTGCTAGGCACTTAAAAATATCACACTTATCTGTGTGTGTTTTCCCACTTATCTTACCTGTATATTCTGGATATATTGTTGTTTTGTAATATTAATCTATGTATGCATAACATTAATATTTAATGATGATTTCTACCTAAGATTATTAAAATCTTAAAACATTTTAAACAGTGGTTATTTTCATAGGTACACAAGTAAACTCAATATAATACGTAAGATTTTATTTCAGTATTTTTAAATCCACAAGTTCCTTTCAAAGAAAAAAATTGTTAATTTGAAGTTGCTATACAGGATTAAGTTTCTAAAGCAGCAATCTTTATCATAATATGTAAAAATTACTTTCATAATTTATTTTAGAGGTAACCAAAGCTGTAGGAGATTCTTCAAAAAGAAAATATTATTTCTTGTGTTAGGTTTTTTGTGATCCTTTGGAGTAAAAATGTTCACTTTTCCCCCGTTTTTTTGGTATAGGATATAGCAGATCCATTTTTTGCTTATTGTAAGCAACATGCAGATAGGTTAGACAGAAAGTGGAAGAGAAAAAACTACTTGGCTCTACAATCCTATTGTAAAATGTCTTTACAAGAGAGAGAGAAGCAACTGTCGCCAGAAGCACAGGTATGGGATTTGTGCCAAAACTCATGTTTTTCTTTCAAGGTTATGGATTTCAGATCTCTTGTGTGTTTGCCAATGACATGTGAAGTATAATTATGAAATTTGGTTAGTTACCTAGGAAGTGGGTTGTCATTAAGGTCAATGGTGAGTATAGTTTGTAGCTGAATACATTACTCCTCATCTGGTCAACAGAGCAGCTATTTATATTACCATGTTTCCAAATACTTTGAAAAATATGGCTTAGAGGAAATGATTCTACCAGTTGACCACATCTCTTTTCAATCTGTTCTAATGTTCATTTATGCAAAGGATTTGATCAGTTTGCCCATTATGTAAAGTATTTTTCTATGGAAATGAAGTAAATTTATGGAGACTTTTACAGTTATTGAGAAGAGAAACTTCAGCTTAATCAAATTAGTTTCCGACAACTCAGATCATAGATTAGCACAGTTGTTACTAGGGGTAGACCTAGTTTATTGTAACCCAAGAATTATATAGTATACCTTAAGGACCATGTATAAATATAATTTGCCTTGATATAGGAAATTCTGGTTATCTTTACTTTTTTTAAGCATGGAGGTAAAAGTCATAAGGAGTATGTTCCATTTCAATATTTTTTTAAAATTTGTATTCATTTCTTTTACAGGCAAGGATCAATGCCCGGCTTCAGCAATATCGTGCCAAAGCAGAACTAGCTCGATCCACCAGACCCCAGGCCTGGGTTCCAAGGGAAAAATTGCCCAGACCACTCACTAGCAGTGCTTCAGCCATTCGGAAACTGATGCGGAAAGCAGAACTAATGGGGATCAGTACAGATATCTTCCCAGTGGACAATTCAGATACGAGTTCTAGTGTGGATGGAAGGAGAAAGCATAAGCAACCTGCTCTCACTGCTGATTTTGTGAATTATTATTTTGGTCAGTATAGAGACTGATACGTGCACATTTTCAATGAGAACAATTTGCTAATGAAAATATTTGATCTGCTGTCAAAATTTGTTAGCCATACTACATATACCAAGTAAAAGCATGTTTATTTTCCTAATTAGTTGTGGGTTGTCGCAAAATGCTGGGTTCCTGTATTTGTGAGTAGAATTGTAAGTTTTTGAACAGTGTAAGTTAATCCACGTGATCATCTCTATGGCTAGCTTCTTCCTTTGTATATTTTGTATATCAGCTTTTATTTTCTACTAAAGTAAAATTGGATATTTAATTTAAATAGAGAGAAATATGCGCATGATTCAAATTCAGGAAAATATGGCTGAACAAAAGAATATAAAGGATAAATTAGAGAATGAACAAGAAAAGCTTCATGTGGAATATAATAAGGTAAGTTGGCAACAAAACAAATAATATATCTTATTGATGATTTCTTTTGTGATTTTATAACGTTTCTGTTTATGTTTCCCTTTAAATTCCCCTGGAGTTTTTAGGCCCTTCTTTGCAACTTCTACTGCTCAGTATCTTCATTATCTTTGCAGACGCTTACGAAGCACTTTGTATGTGCTAGGCACAATTTTGAGCACTTTACGTGTATTAACTCATTTAATTCTCACTTCAGCTTTATAATGTGAATTATGATTATTGCTCCCATTTTCAGAGGAGGAAACTGAGTCCTAAACAGGTGAAGTAATTTTCCCAGGCTCATGCAGGTAGTCAAGTCATAGAGCTACCTCTTCATTCTGTGATGAGGGAGATGAAAAAGAAATATCATATAAAAGCAAGACGTGGCTAACATGTTAGGTAATAAGTAACATGAGTATATAAAACTGGTATTGACTTATTATTAGATAACATTTTAAGTGATTAAAAAAATTAGTAGAGAGTAAATTTCTAGTAATCAGCCACACTGTAGTGAAAAGAGTACTGATATTAGATTGAGAAAACCTCAAGGTTTTTGCTGGTTCTATGATCTGGGCCAAGTCACAAAAACCCTATGATCCTTAGTTTTCTCGTTGGGAAAATGGTGGAAATTTATCTTGATAAAGTCATAAGGATTAATTAGAATGTGTGTGGAATTATATAGTAAACTATAACAATACATAAATGTAGGTATCATTATTAGTAGTAAAAATGCTAACATAAAACAAAATGCTTACGTTTTGTTGGTGCTGCTTAAATAATTGGATAATCTTGTTTCTCAGGGTATTGTGACTTGAATGTATTAAAAATATAGAGAATGTAAATATAGATATTCTTGGATATTTATCGATAAATTTTGACATATTCTACTAAGTATTTCAATGTTTTGCTAATTTGAATTATTTACGTTGCAGCTATGTGAATCTTTAGAAGAACTACAAAACCTGAATGGAAAACTTCGAAGTGAAGGGCAAGGAATATGGGCCTTACTAGGCAGAATCACAGGGCAGGTTAGTTTCTTTCCAATTGCTCTCTCCTATTCTTGCTCTCCATATGATTTTCAGAGGTCAGATCTCTGATACAACTGTCACTTCACTAACTGAAGAGTTCTGTTTGATTAGGGCCAGCTAATCCTCTGGGATAGTGATTTCTGCCTGAAATACATGTAGAGCATTGGAAACTGCTTACTGAGAACGTGTAGCTTAATTTGGTTGTTTTAACAGCTCTCTTGTTTGCAAAATTTTTTCGTTTGCTCTAACCCATTGATCTGTCATTTGTGATGAAGCTAGGATTTGAAGCATGAGTTACTCCTGCCAAGTTCTTCTTTCCTCTAATTTAGCAGTTTTAGATTCCTTGACAGTTTTTTCTGTCTTGTTCTTGTGCTATATTTAATTCTTTGTTTTTTTGGGGGGGATGTAAAATTTAAAAGGCAAACTGGAGAGATTCATTTTCATGTTGACTTGGTTTGGAGCTATGTAAGAAATGGTTTTTGAAACTTTAATGTTAAAGTGTAGTTTTTCCCCTTTAGTAACTATTATTGTAGTTATGAAAAAATGATTTTATCCTTGAACATTTTTAGCCTGTTAATGTTCTTGTTGTTGAAAAGAAGAATCATTGCCAAATGGATTTCTTTGAATCCTTCTTTTTTTGGGACTGTATGTAATACATAAATTAAAAATTCATTCACATAATTTCAGTTATATTTTTAAAGGCTGATGGAGACTCACAGTAGTCCTTAATAGTCTTATTTGTGAAGGAGACTTTTCAAAGAACACATTTTTTTTATTGTACTTGTTTCAGAGGTTTATAACGAGTCAAATTCATCATACAATTCATGTAGACATATTGATTTTTGAAGTAATACATACTGATATGTATTGTGTCATGCTAGCTTTGAAGATGCTTCTCATGTGAACAGGATTGTGTGGCTTATATTATAATGAATAACATAATGTAAAAGGTGAGAATGAATAGTCACTTATGGAGAATTGACCTTTGTTCCTATTAATAGATTGTTGATGGAGTTTTGCAAGATTACGATGTTTTATATTTTATATTTGGAGAAGTTAATGTTGAGTGCAAGCGTATTATCAGTATTTGCCAAGGCAGTGTTATTTTTTGGCTTGATTTGCAAGTTTTTCTTATGAGAATCTCCTGTTTAGTGTAAAACATTATCTACCATGTAAGGGTATTTTAATTTATTAAATGACTTCTAACAGAAATCCACAGATTTCCTTGTGCAAATGTAAAATACACAGCAGAAGTAGAATTCATTTGTACTGCTTGCATGACACTTTTTTCCAGTTGGTTGAACAGACGCCGGCCCACTGGGCCACTGAGAAATGCCTTTGATAGATGGTTGCTGTCTGAGAAGCCAGCATACTACAGATTAGTAGAAGCCCAAAGAGAATCTCATTCACTTTGTGAAGAGTTTGGTCCAATAAGATAATTTTTCTAATTAACCTATGGAGCCCAGTGTAGCTGGGATGTTGAGGAAAATAAACGGCCTCAATATTCTTTTTGTGTCGAGTGTACTTTTCTTTTTAATGTTCTTAAATGCTTGTCCTTGTCTTTCACTTTTTAAAGCTAAAGTAGAAGTTTAATTTTCATAATGTTTTAGTGTTCCACTGAAAATTGATTAAAGTGTGTAATTATAGGGTTCTGATGGAAGTAACTGAGACAAAAACTCATTTTAATCCTTTTTGCCAGTGTAATAGCTGGTAAAACATTTTCCCTGCAACAATCGTAGCATATTTAGTTCACTTGAGTGGCAAATAGAGGAAAATGTTGCTGTATATTTCTTCTTTAAAACAAAATAAACTGCATTTGTTCAAATCAATAGAAGTTGAACATACCGGCAATTTTGCGAGCACCCAAGGAGAGAAAACCAAGTAAAAAAGAAGGAGGCACACAAAAGACGTCTACTCTTCCTGCAGTACTTTATAGGCAAGTAATGAAATTATGACAGATTAATATTGTGTATTTTTAAAATAATACATTTTAATAACAAGACGCTTCAGATATTTGAGAATGAATTATGTCCATGCCAGAATTTAAGTTAAATGCATTTGAAGTTCATTTTATTAATAGCTTCATCAAAGATCTTTCCAGGTTGAATGATAGAAGGGATTTTTGCTTGCCTTTTAATGATAAGATAAATGACTTCTTATATCCTTTAAGTAACTGGGGATATGTGTGCATGCGCTCCATGGGAATGAACAATTCTCTGGGGAATTGGAAAGTGACTTTAAATAATGTAGATGATTATTTTCTTAGGTAATTAAAACAATATATTAGATAAATGGGCATTTATATTTTATTTCACTTGAATGAGTTTTAGAATTTTGCACGTGTTTCCAGGTAGTGATAGGTGTCATACATACAGCCTAAATTATTGCCTTTATACAGTGGTGGATAATAAATATATCTGTTAGATTTGAAGCTGTCTACATTTGTTTTCTCTTTCTGTTCAGTTTTATTAATTTTGTTTCTGGAAGTATTTTTGTTCTTTACTTTTTTTAGCTTGTATTTTACAGTGTTCACTATTACAGTAATTTAACATAGTCAGGACTTCTTTCCATACCTAAGTAGGTTAGGATCTTACTTTATTTTGTTTAACTGATTGTATTGGTTAAGTGAGAAAAGTTTAGAAGATGCTGGTATGTTTATGTACACAGACACACACAAATGTATATAGTCACGTACAGACATATATATGCTCATGTAAATGCATAAATATTCTCCCCACAACTTCTTCCTTTCTCAGAAATGGCAGCGATAATAACAATATCAATCTCTGTAATTACTTTCTGTTCTTGACTGGAGGTTCCCTCTGTAGATTACAGAAAATAACTTCCTTGAAACGTGGGAAAAGCCCACTAGTATCTTAGTGTTCAGTGTCAAGACTAGCGCATTCTCAGTTCAGCATTTCCAAACAAATTTGGTTCATTTGGAACCATCAGATTTATCACTGTGCTTTTAACTTTTATCACTACAGTTCATTTTTGTTTCAGAATATATTTTAAGTGATTTTCCTTTTTAACTCTGAGGAACTTTGAGACCAAATACTGATTGTTGTTGGGTGTGTGTGTGTGTGTGTGAGAGAGAGAGAGAGAGACAGAGAGACAGAGAGAGAGAGAGAGAGAGAGAGTGTATGTGTTTGTGATCTTTTTTCCTAGGGTTATTTTAAAACATTCAGACATCTTTGCTATTTCTGTACATGGATGATTCTTTTAGGTTCTCAACAACTTTTCCCCCACTCTTTACATTCCCAATGTAAATATGCCCTAGATTTTCAGGTCATGGTGCTTGTGCTCTCAGGAGTAGTTAAGTTGCCTTTTTGCACAAGGAAAGTTAGATTCCTTAAAAATAAAGAAAAATCCAAAATAACAGTAATGACAAGAGTAAAACTGCATTCTTGCAATAAATATTAATTGGTATAGTTTTAAGACTCAAACTCTGATTTTGAAAAGAGACTTATTTTGTATATATAGCTTATTTACGTGTTGACGTTTCTTTGAAAGGTTTATAATTAAAGTTTGAAGATAAACTGAGTTTTGTTTGTAAAGTAACTTCTTTGGTACTTTTAGAGAAGTAGAAAATTGGAAAATTCTTTTAATAATTTATGTTTCTAGAGAAAAATTGAGCTAATCTTAAGTAGGTTTTAAGTGATAATTAAAATTAAGATAAGGGTGATGTTGAAAATAAATATCTTATAGATGCCCTTCTTTGAAAGGTTTGACTCTAGCATATTTAAATTTATACTAGATCCAAGATATTTTTCTACATTCTCAAAAGTATTTACAACTAATAATGTTATGACGTTATAAAAAGATGTTATTAAAAAACATTTGATTTCAACAAAAGAAATATTGTTAAAGTGAAATTTTAAAAATATGCTATAAATTAACTTTTTCTACTATAATCATTATTCTAATCCTTCATTTGCTGCCTTTATTCAAAGTTGTGGAATCTGTAAGAAGAACCATGATCAGCATCTTCTTTTATTGTGTGATACCTGTAAACTCCATTACCATCTTGGATGTCTGGATCCTCCTCTTACAAGGATGCCAAGAAAGACCAAAAACAGTTATTGGTGAGTAAAAGGGAGGGATTTAGATGTTAGAACTGGTTTGCTCTTAGTTTCAATAGTATTAAATGAAGTGTTATATCATACTGCTTCATAGTAAAGCTTTTGACACATTTTTAAATTAATATTCTTATAAATATTTTTCCAACTTTATTGAGGTGTAATTGACAGTCAAAAGTTATATATCTTTAAGGTGTACAACTTAATGATTTGATATACGTATATATTGTGAAATAATCACCACAGTCAAGCTAATTAACATATCCATCACCTCACATAGTTACCCTTTTTTTGTGTGTATGGTGAGAGCACTTTAGACATAAATATTTACCATAGAATTATGTGAATAAAGTTGTAGCAGTTTTTGAGAAATGAATTTTAAGTTAATTGGTATTTTTGTTTCTTAGCAATGGATTCCTAAGACGTGAATTCTGTCTAGTGTGTTTATAATTCTCTTGTTTTATTAGAATTTTTCAAATGCTTTATTTTTGTTTTGAAAATGAATGAATTTATCAAGAATTTGCCTCCATATGCATGTTTTATTTGTAATTTAGGATTTTACTTCTAAATTAGTGTCACTGAAGACTTTACTTCTGGTATTTGTCATTTGTGCTATATTTAAGTTCAGCTATTCTTTGTAAATCTAGAAACATTTGACATATGTTTCTGAATTAATGTTTTCATTAACTTAGGCATATTGAATACTACAGATGTTTGATAAAATCTTGTGATATTTATGATGAGTTTTATTCTTTCCTTAAGTTTAGTCCAAGGGAGAGACAGATGTTCAAATTTTAATAGGCTGATTCTATATAGGAAGAATATAGGACATGGGAAACTTTGGGATGAACATGAGTTTTCTCTTTATACAAATTACCTTTCTAGTTTTAGAAAAGAATGAATCCCAGATTCTTAAATGGTAATCTACACAAAAAGTCATGGGTGTTTCTCAAACACATCAGGCAAGCTTTTTGACCTCATTGTTTTATCTCATAAAGCTACCTATGTTCATTTTATTAGGAAGTTTATGTTCTTTTACCATTGTCACAGAATTGCTTTTTCTTTTTTCTTTCTTTCTTTTTTTTTTTTTTGCTGAGGAAGATTCACCCTGAGCTAGCATCTGTGCCAGTCTTCCTCTATTTTGTATGTGGATCAACACCACAACATGTCCGCTGATGAGCGGTGTAGATCTGTGCCTGGGAACTGACCCCGGGCCACCCAAGCAGAGTGCGCCAGACTTAACCACTAGGCCATGGGCTGGCCCCTCATAGTTTTTTTTTTTTTTTCAGTTTGTCTTGAGACACTCATACTGATCTGCTCTTTTCAAATATAGTGGAGTGTATTTCTTTTGATTTTTTTGTGTGTGTGGTGAGGAACATTGGCCCTGAGCTAACATCTGTTGCCAATCTTCCTCTTTTGCTTGAGGAAGATTGTCACTGAGCTGACATCCATGCCACTCCTCCTCTATTTTATGTGGGATGTTGCCACAGTGTGGCTTGATGAGCGATGTTAAGTCTGTGCCCGGGATGCAAACCTGTGAACCCTGGGCCTCTGAAGCGGAATGTGAACCCAACCATTACACCACTGGGCGGGCCCCTCTTTTGATGTTTACGTGCTTTCGAAACCAGAATTTAGGAAGAAACTGCTCTAGCTTATAAGAATTCCAGCAGTGTTCAAAAGCATCTTAGGTGGGTTTCTAAATTGAAAGCCAGTTTGGTAGTCTCCAGGGCTGGGGCGCTTTGTCATCATCTTGAACATGGAGTTGTACAGTTTTCTCCTTAAATGAAGTTATGAACTTTTCTAATACTGCTCTCCCTGCAGAGCTCGGGTTTCCAGTGTATGAGAGTTTCTGGAAGAACTTCAGATGGAGGTGTATAGCCTGGGATGTTTTAGTGAAAGCTCTCCCTGAAGGACCTGAACTACTTAGTGTCTTATGCATTGGTTGTAACGTTTTAACGTAAAAGTAGAAACTAATATTGCAGCAAAGTGAAGTCTTCAATATCTTCTAGTTTCTAGTGCTTACGTTTCCTTTGGCCTCTAAAATCAACTTAGTTAGCTTTGCTTAGCAATTAATTGGGTTTATTAATTTTGGAGTAAGTTTTAGAGAACTATTATTTTCTTTAGTGTATCTCAAATGTGAGAGGCAATTTTTACTTTTTGCATTGTAACATTTTCAGTGTATTTTTGAAGTTATGTTAAAGATCATAAATACTAAAAAATTTCACTTCCTAAATATTTTACTATTATCTATGCTTTGTAGTTTGTTTAAGCCTATTGTATATGTATGGTAGAAAAACTGTGTAATGGTGTGCTCCCATGCATCTTTTCCCCATTCTCTGTGTTCTCTGATGCCATGTTGGTAGCTTGAAATTGACCATGGTTAGGAGGATTCATGCTACGGAAACTGGCAGATGCTACACATTAGGACTTTCTCCCATGGAGAGCCAGGTGTTAGATATTTACTAGCACACTGCTGCCTAACCTCTGCTGTAGTCTTTATGTAGTTCTTAGTCTTTTTCTTAGCGAAAGAGGTCTGTTACTGGATCCTTATCTGGTGACTGAACCCCAGTTTTTGGCTTAAATTTCTATAAAGCCCACTGGATTACTCTTCTGAATGTCACTGGCTTCTGCTGTCTTTATGCTATTCAAGCTTGTGGTAACACCCTTATTACCATATCCCCCTTATGCTCACTGCTAGCTAGAATTACTATGCAATCTGTTGCTTTACGTCTCAGATACCAAATTCTGCTTGGTAGACTGTTCTAAGCACCTTTTATCCAGCTTTTTCTTCTAGTATCAGCATTGCTTTCCTGGAGATACCAGTTCTAGATCTGGGTACTTTCTGGTTGGTCCATCCCACAATAGTTCATGGACTATGCTGGACTGATTTAAGACATGTGACAGGAAAGAAGAGATGGATAAAGATACAGAAGTAATTATTGGTGGAGTGGAGGGAAGTTAAGTGAGTTCACATTAGACAGGCTCTGACTTTTCGTCTGTTGAGAGGGGAAGGACCTGGGATGATGATGGGAACTTGAGAAGAGAGGAGATAGTTTGCAACAGCTATTGTGGAAAAAAGCACAGATAACTGACTTGCTGAGGCTGTTTAGCAAGCATGTCCAGTGAATTAGTTTAGTAAGTGTGATTAATTGATTTTTCTTGAGTGATGCTCAGCTGCCCAGGAGCAGGAGAGAGGAACCCAGGAACTTCTTAGGTTGGGTTAGGGTTGGGTAAAGCAGATGAAGAAGGATGTTAGATGAGTGAGGAGTTTGGTAGGGGCTAGAGGAGCTGGTGAAGGTGTAATCCAGGCTCCATTTTGTTTGCACCCACTCCCAGTGTTTGAAATATATTTTGCCTCACTTTTAGTTTCTTTTCTTGTTTTTTTCTTTTTTAATTATTTTATTGAGGTCATATTGGCTTACAACATTGTGTAAATTTCAAGTGTACAGTATTATGTATCAGTTTCTGTATAGACTGCATTGTGCTCACCACCAATAGTCTAGTTTTTGTCTGTCACTGTACGTAGGTGCCCCTTTACTCTTTTCACCCTTCCCCCACCCCGTTCCCTTCTGGTAACCACTGATCTGTTCTCCTTATCCATGTGTTTCTCTTCCACATATGAGTGAAATCATGCAGTGTTTGTTTTTCTCTGTCTAGCTTATTTTACCTAGCATAATACCCTCAAGGTTCATCCATGTTGTTGCAAATGGCACAATTTTGTCTTTTTTTTTAATGGCTGAGTAGTATTCCATTGTGTATATATACCACATCTTCTTTATCCATTCATCTGTTCATGGGCACTTGGATTGCTTCCACGTCCTAGCTATTGTGAATAATGCTGTGATGAACATAGGGATGCATAAATCTCTTTGAATTGTTGATTTCATGTTCTTTGGATAAACACCAAGTAGGGAGGTAGCTGGATCATATAGCATTGCTATTTTTAATTTTTTGAGAAATCTCCATACTGTTTTCCACAGTGGCTGCACCAATTTACATTCCCACCAGCAGTGTATGAGGGTTCCCTTTTCTCCACAGCTTCTCCAACATTTGTTATGTCTTGTCTTATTAATTGTAGCCATTTTGACAGGTGTGAGGTGAAATCTCATTGTAGTTTTGATTTGCATTTCCCTAATAATTAGTGGTGATGAACATCTTTTCATGTGCGTGTTGGCCATTTGTATATCTTCTTTGGAAAAATGTCTATTCATATCCTCTGGCACCCCCCCCCCTTTTTTTTTTGTGCGGAAGATTGGCCCTGAGGTAACATCTGTTGCCAATCTTCCTCTTTTTGCTTGAGGAAGATTGTTGCTGAGCTAACATCTGTGCCAGTCTTCCTCTACTTTGCAAGTGGGATGCTAATATAACATGGCTTGATGAGTGGTGCGTAGGTCCATGCCCAGGATCCGAACCTGTGAACCATGCGCTGCCAAAGTTGAGTGCTTAACCACTCTGCTACCAGGCTGTCCCCGTCTGCCCATTTTTTGATCGAGTTCTTTATTTTTTCAGTTGTTGAGTTGTATGAGTTCTTTATATATTTTAGAAATAAACCCCTTGTTGGATATGATTTGCAAATATTTTCTCCTAGTTGGTTGGTTGGTTTTCTTAAAATACATAATTTTGCTAACTGCCCTACATTCTTTTTAAGACAAGTCTGGTGGGGTATAAATAAATAGTCAGGGCTTGATTTGTTAGAGTAGCTCAGGAAGTAAATCTTTTTTTTTTTTTAAAGATTTTATTTTTTCCTTTTTCTCCCCAAAGCCCCCCAGTACATAGTTGTATATTCTTTGTTGTGGGTCCTTCTAGTTGTAGCATGTGGGACGCTGCCTCAGCGTGGTTTGATGAGCAGTGCCATGTCCGTGCCCAGGATTCGAACCAACGAAACACTGGGCCGCCTGCAGCGGAGCGCACGGACTTAACCACTCGGCCACGGGGCCAGCCCAGGAAGTAAATCTTTTGATTTTAGAGAACTAATCTTATGTTTCCACCACCCATCTGATCAGAAT